AAGCGGGAAAGGATTTCGGAAGAGAACAGGTTTTCAGCGATCTGTTGCTGGAAAGACTTCATTCGCCAACGGTTCCAGGCGAGTGATATCATAGGACGTAGATCGCAACGACCGTATTGGCCGACTGTGGGGTGAAGTGGTTGGCCAAGGCAGTGCGAGAGGCGGCAATCATAGCACTTGAGAGGGACTTTTCTTGGGACGGGGCAAGACGGGACGAAATGGGTCGTAGAGAAACAGGCATGGCATCTTCTTTCCGTGTGGGGTGAGGGGGGTAGGGGGATGGGAGCACTGGAGCGAGATAACGCAGCTCGATTGATTGCTCCCGTCCCCGTCGAGATAACGCGTGACTACGCGGATGGACAGACGCGGCGGTTTTAGGCTTCTATTGCCCCTACTGTAATTGAGTTTATTGAGAATTGTATTAAAATCACGGTGCATATCGCGTATGATAAAAAACTTTATTTACAACCAGGGAGAACCCGCGGATTATGGACACCTGTCCATAGGTGCGACGGATCAGTCCCAGCCAGAGCTACATGCACGTGTGCCACGTGTGTACTCGATCCCTCGCATTACAGTGTACCGTTGTGTAAGGCGGTGACCCTGCTGGCAAGATGCGACCCAACGAGGGATACACCAATGGGAGCGCGCCAAGTGCGTGGCGGCCCGAACAGTAGCCGTGGGTCCTCTCGCTTGCTGCGCCCTCAGCCGTCGCTATAGCGCCCAATCACGGGCACGTCCGCGACGTCACCGTCCTCCGCATCGCCAATCCGCCGCGCCCGTCCCCACCGCTCGTCGCCCGCCTCGCTCCCCGCACCCGCGCATCCCCTGGGGTGTATGTCAGTATTTCTGGGTTACTCTGTTCTGGGACAAAATCAGGTTTGAATGTTCCAAACTTTTTGTAAGCTTGTAGCATTTGCTGGGCTTCATTTAAAACATCAGGAATGTCCGAGTACAGTGCTTCTATTACTTTGTTCGGAAGCGGTATACCTGCAGCATAACTAACTTCCACTCCACAAACCTCAATTACTTTTCGGATGGCTCGAAAAATCTGCCTTTTTTCCATCGCTGGGTCGACTAGTAGAACATCTGGAGAAAGACAATCTTTTAAGAAAGATACAATTTCTTCGGCTGGCAGGTCAATAGCTTCATCAAGTTCCACGCAAATGTTTTCGATGAGCGGGTGGGTTCGATTCACTTTGCTGATGTGTTTCTTGATCGATTCCAAGTCGCGTTGCGACAGTTGCGATGAGGGTCCATAACGATCAATTAAACTAGATTTCGTATAAACTTGCAAGTGTTGTGAAATCCAGGGGGGGAAGATACAAAAGTATTCTTCCAGTGTGTGTGACAATATCCAAAGGATGGTCGTCTCGCGCAGAAGCGCACGGGGTCTCGCGTACGAACGCGGTAGCAAATTCTTGCCAAAGAATATCGTGAATACTCACAGTTGGTGATTTATTACGTCCCTTTCTTCTTCTTTTCCTCGCTCTACAAAGCGGTAGGGTACATATATTTGTCAGTAACGAGAACGCCGCATCTCTAAGAGTTGCGCTCGCTGTCTGCATTATTTTCTGTCAGCTCTCCGAAATGCTGTCTGCTTCTTCCACATTATCAGCA